TTACAGATGGTATAATATTTATACATGATATTTACAGATGTTATAATATATATACATGATATTTACAAATGTTATAATATATATACATGATATTTACAGATGTTATAATATTTAAACATGATATTTACAGATGTTATAATATTTATGTTTTGTTTTGCCGGATGTTTCATAACTTATTGTTCTTGGCTTGATAAATTTTATACATGATATTTACAGATGTTATAATATTTATGTTTTGTCTTGCCGGATGTTTCATAACTTATTGCTCTTGGCTTATCAGATGTTTCCTGTTTTATTGTTATTGTCTGGCCGGATGTTTCATATTTTATTGTTATTGTCTGGGCGGATGTTTCATGTTTTATTGTCTCGCTGGACGTTTCATCTCTTATTTTTCATGTCTCACCGGATGTTTCATCTCTTATGTTCCTTGTCTCACAAAATGTTTCATCTCCGTGTCCCACTAGATGGATCATCTATTTTGTTTCTTGTCTCACCGGATATTGAGGCAGCAGCATGTAGCCCAGTCCCTTTAATTGTAACGCAAATGCACACGAAAGACAATATTTTAACAATTTTTTTTTTAAATATCTGCATTTAAAAACGGCTGCATTTCATTCACTGCTTCTGGAGACTTTGGTATTTTAAGACTTAAGTCTCGATAAAGACAACAAATACTGAAACATTGCGTTACTAACAGAATTATTATACAGTTGTAGTTGGGTGTTATAATAGAAAATCAATTGTAATCTAAAGCTATTGCACTAGGGGCCCCTATCATCCACGCTCTGTTTGTAACAATCAAATCTTGAGACAGAATTTCTTCAGTACTTTCATCCTGTGTATTCCAGCACCATGAAACCTATATTCCAAGACAAACACAGGGCATTTATTAATTACATCTCACATTTTAGAAGTGGCTTAACTGAATGTCTATTTTATTTATCTTGCATTTGTAGAGTTCTTTTGATAATCGGAGCATTCATACAAGTATTAAATCAACGGGGCAGTTCATAGAAAATCCATACTGGATAATCTAGGTTGAAAATAAATTTCAAAAATACTGAGACTCTACTAAGAGTCATTTTGGATAAATTTGACAATCATTTATTTCTTGTAAAGGGTAACATTGGCACGATCTGATATTGCAATATTTTTTTTATTTTTTTAAAATGAGAACGAAATGCATTGCCCTTGCTTTCTATTGAGATGAAATGGGAACTGTTAAAGAGGCTTTGGCGCTTTTTCTTTATCTATATACACATACATCAGACACGTTCATGTTAGATTGTAAGTTTTCGCGTAGATATACATACACGATCCAATTACTGTACTAGTCATACAATTTTTCTTGTGTCCATTTCAAGAGTGTAATGGACGTTCATGAAAGTTACTTTATCTTAAGTAGGTCAGGGGCACAGGCCAACCGGCCATGGCTTGGGGCCCCGCGCTTTTAGGGGCCCCACGTAATCATTCTCTGTGTTTCCCTAAATTCTCACTTGGTTCAATAAATCCTCTCAATAATTTGCTGGTACAGTTGAGCCCTGATGTAAGCAACAGGTCGGGTGACAGTTTGAAATTGCTTATATCCGATTATGCTTATATCAGAACAAAGTCCCAAAACATTATTTGGGGGGGGGGGGGGGTCTTATTTAGTGCACAATGTAAGATAAAATTTAGCAAAGTGGTCGGTGTACATGGACACATGCAACTGGAGACTAGTTGCCGACAAGCAATTGGGAGCAACTGGCCGCAACTGAGACGATACGATGTACAACCATTCGTGTTCTTCTTTTCCGGCAACTGGTTGTACTTCGGCAATGCCACTGCCCATCACCTGGCGACACTAAACTAGAAAATGAAATAACCTGTGAAACATTCGAAACGAAATATTTTTTATAACTTTTTTAAGTATGTATTATCAATGAAAGAAATTCTACATCTCTATATTAATTATACAATTATACAATAAAAGCAATTAGTTTGGTATTTTTAAAATGTTTTTTTACAATTAGGGCTACAAGTACTTTTATCACAAAAAACTGTTTCTGTCCTATGAGGTCATATTCGGTACAATAATAAAACGCACACATACAAAAAAACAAACAACCAACATATACAAACAAAGTCGTATAGTGAAATACTCGAGTGGGTTTTAAATGAATAAGATTAATACTGAATAATACAGAAGTTTAGTTTTTCATTCTATTTATTTATTGACAGTGTGTCAAGCAGAGGTTGAACAATTATTGAAAACTGTTCATTTTCACAGGATATTTTAACAGATGTGTTATTAACGCAATGATCAGATAAGCTAAAAGTCTTTCTAAAATTGATCTTAAAAAATGACTGACTCTTCGTTTTTAATAACAGTGCCGATGTGCAATTTAAACCAATTGAACTATTGGATACATTAAGAATCAGTTGAGCAGAAACAGATGTTTAAAATGATTGTACGTTTAGTTAATTATACAATTGGCGACAGTGTCAAACTGAATAATCAAACTAGAAGAGTATTTGTTTTATATTTGTAATTTACATGTGTTTCAATTCTTTTGTTAGTTATTTTTTCTAGCGACAATAAAATTGATGCATTGTCGCCTATGGTATATTGAAAATATGCATTTTTTTTTCAGAATAATAAGAGAACATTATTGGTGAAAATACCGCACCAAACTATTTGAACTCTCGGTTTACCTATAGAGAATAACAAAAGACAGTTAGTGCAGCGTAACACGTTACGTGTAAAGGGAAATAACTGCGTTTTATTTATTCGAACAGGATTTTGACGGGTTGCTGCTTGTTTGATTGGATTAATATATGAAATGAATGAATAAAATAGTTACTTTTCTGCACCAAGTGGACATACTCTGAACAGTGTGCTATGAGGGAAATTGAATTCTAACTGGTTCTTTTACGTGCACGCCAACCACGGGGCATCGGTTGTTCTTTTTTTCTGTCCCATCTGAGCGACTGGACTGACCAGGATCACCGTCCTGCACCACTTGATAGACCAAGACCGGGATCGAACCCCTTGGTTAGTGAGCAAGCGTTTTACTGAAATATCGTGGCTTCCGTGCTAATTTAACGTCTGCTGCAAGGATAGTTAGTTTTATTTAAACCTATTGTCTTGTTTGTCCCTTTCCACTGAAACATGTATAAGATTCCACACGTAGGATGATTATGGCCCATTTCACATAGTGCACGTTTTTATTTACGATGGTAGTTTTGCCGTGACATGACACGCCATAAAAAATAACAGCATATACCAGAATCTGTCCACCACTCATAATATTTGTCATGCGCGCACACCGAAAAAAGGTTAAAGTTCAGGTAAGTTATAATTGATAAAATATTAAAAACAAATATTGAAATCGCTAAACATTAGATATATTTTTGGATTTGGGGGCAACTAGAGCACAGAATTTAACATTAGGCCGAAAAGTCGGAAAATATTTGTGTCCCATTTCAGTTTTTATATAAAGGTATCCATTAAACCAGGGCCGGTTTTTGGCACATTTGGTTTGACCAATTTCCCCAAATTGGGTCCCGACACTAGGAAGGGGCCCTGCAGCTCACCAACTTAAAAATGTTCCAGGCAATCGAGCAACAGGGCTGCCAGGTGTGGCTATTTACCAAATCGCACCCATAATACCTTACATTTTATTTGCAATGATTTTACAATAGAAGCTCAGCTTCAAAAACGATGTATGAAATTTATCAGTAGTATAATAAAAAGTAAAAATGAATGCACGCACATCTGTGCTCTGCATGGGAGCAAATCCACTACTTGTAATAATATTAACTATATATGTTACAAATATAATGTTAATAAATATAATATTAGCGACATGAATGTAAATGATATACTAAATACGATTAATAAATGTGACACTGAACATAATAGTGTAAATGATGTATTGGTAGCTAATAGAATAAGAGACTTTATTTTATTTAGAGACTCAAAACAAGACCCTAACATTGACGAAATCATTGATCATTTGTGTATTTCATAAGAATGGTGTCTAGTTTTAACTGTAAATACCTAATGAACTATTGTACATATCATGTAATTTTCCATTGTTATTTTTTCCCCTTTGAAAGTGTACAATTAAGTACGAATAAAGATATTATTATTATTATAGTTGGCCTTAAAATATGAATGAATAGTTATTCATATCCGATAACTTCGGGACTCCCAAATTGGGCCCCTCACTTTCTACAACCGACCCTGAATTAAACTGACGGCCTCAGTACTCTCCTATCAAGTTTCATGTATCGATGTACCATAGGGCCAATAATCGTTTCGATTATTTAAACGAAAAAAACGTCTGACATGAGCTCTTTACATAGTAATTTCGACAATTAAAAACAAATCTTAGGTTACATACGATCTTGAGCTCGATGTTCATGGGAAGAAATAAATTATGCCTCAGACATCTAGGCCTATTAACAATATAGAGGATGGGGTGAAATGATGAGAAAGTAATGAGAACTTTGGATGAGCCTATTGGTAATATGTCTATAGTTGCCGTTCAATCTGGAATGTTGTACCTTTTATAGAGAGAGAGATGGGGATTAACGTCCACTCGACACAAACTAGGTCATTTCGGGACTAACATATTGTTCAATTTTATTTCAATAATTCGCTTGCGCAAAGGGGTCTTTAGCAGTGGGGGGAAACTGGAGGACCCGGAGAAAATCCACGAGGTTGGACAGGCGACCATACTCTTTGTCACGTACAACTGGGGAATCGAAACTACACCAGTTAACTCAATGACAGACCTTATGATACAGCGCGCACGTGCTAACCATTCGGCCATCCAACCTCCCGTACCTTTAATGGCTACGGGGTTTTCCATAATAATGGCCACATGAAAGGAAAGGGTATAAACTACTGCATGGATATTTAAAATAAAACAGAATAGTCTGAGGTATGGGAAGCATGATTTGAAAAAAAAAAAAAAAAAAAAAAAAAAAAAAATCCCTGAATGTCATTTTGCCACATTTGTCCACCAAACATATAAGAAGTAAATATATAAATATATGTGAGAAATTAGGAAATATTTTATATCATTAGAGAGAGATTACATATAGTGAGAGTTAAAACAATTGTACATACATTATATACAAGATGTGAACATTAAACTTATATTTCTATTGCACAAGTACATATATTAGAAGTGTCTGTTGATAGATCTAAGACAGACTTATATTTCATTTCTTCTGGTTAGTTTAATCCTAGTCCAGTTGTACGGGAATGATTTCACACATGTGTACAAACATGATTTTAAACTCTTATTTTAACTAAACCTGTTACAAAAAAACGATTATGTAACTCTACATAACATATCTACTTGAACATACATTATGCAAAAGCTAAATCTGTCTATTGCAGGTCTTTCTTTAGGCCTGAAATGTTATATAAACTATTAATTAGACATTATTATCCAGACAATAATCAACTCTCGATGGCATCGCTAGCCTGCGATCTTTACTGGATTAGAACCGGTCTGTTGCTTCTGATTTAATCATGAAATGGATAATCAAGACTATGTTTTTTATCGTACCACTTTAGTAATGATGATCGAGGCTAGGCCGAATATTCAATCACTAAAATCCCAGTTCAGAGTGGATCAATTCGACTGAAATTTGCAGCAAGTTCTCTTTACATTATTTAGTTTTTAACTATTATAGTGAGAACTGCCAGAAATAAAGATATATATATATATTTCATTACAGATTTAACACAGAAAGATCTTCAGGTTAGACAAGATAGCATACACCCAGAACATAAAAACAACAAATATCTTCTCACAACCAAATATTACCCAGTTTTTAAACACTGTACAACTTCTACAACACCCATTTCCTTAAACCAGACACATATAGTATCAACTATATTCAAAAGATGTAGTTTTTTATTTAAAGTTAAAATCAGTGGAATGAAATATTTTAATGACAGAATAATAAAAAATAGCTAAGGAGTAAACAGTCCACACTAATAGCAAGGCTACACTATGATACAGGAGGGGGACGGAAACTGAGAAGGATCTCAACCAGACTACAATTATTGTCATCTAGATGTCTATCGCAACTAAGCATTCTAAATAATTTTATTTTAATTGACCTTGTATCTTTGGTATCTTTGAAGTATTAATGACACAAAAGATTCTAATAAGGAATTACCAAATAATTATTAAAGACATGAATTTAAATGTTATTTCAAAGATAACTGTGTAGTAATATATCACATTTAATATTCTCAGAAATATAGAAGTGTGAAAAGTGAGAAACAAAAATAAATATTTTTGACCAAGAAAATCTCAAGTAAAATACTATTATATACATCTAAGACACAGTATTATAATGTGCATTAATTAAAACAGATATTAAATAACTAAAATTATATATTTCAGTTATCAAACTAATATGTATAATATCCTACAAATCTCTAACACTTCATTTTCTTACTGCATATAGGTAGACAATATTCAGATATTAATTTGATTTTTTTTAACAATACACTTTGCCTTTAATTATCTCAAATTATAATGAAACATGCATATTATGTTTTTTAAAAAACCCCAAAAATAACAGGTACACGAGACTATGGACTGGGAACCAAGCATGACATCATTGCCGCCATCTTGGAATTGTCCAAGGAACAAGCATGCCAAGTTCATGTCGAGGGTACTTATTATAATGAAACATGCATATTATGTTTTTTTACAAAAAGAAAAACAGGTACATGATACTATGGACTGAGAACCGAGCACCACGTCATGGCCACCATCTTGGAATTGTCACGCGATTGTCCAAGGAACAAGCATGCCAAGTTTCATGTCGATGGTACTTGAATTGGCAGAGCTTTAGACTATTTTTGCAGAGCATCACCACAAGTAGAACAAGAACAAAATGATGAGTGCTTGGTACCCAGTTCCTTGATCCAACAACGTTTAATTGGCAGAATTTTAGGCTATTTTCGGAGAGCATCACCATAAGTAGAACAAGAACATCAACAAAATAACGAGTGCTTTGTACCCAGTTCCTGTTCCAAAAATGTTTATATTAATTTGATTGAAGCACTATATATATATATATAAATATACAAATCTTAAATTTAACATGATTTCTTTAATTGGGGCAAGAGGTAGCCTTTTACTTTACTTACAGTCAAATTATGCTTTAAATCAATGCAAAATCTGAATGTTTTCTGTAATTTATTATCCATACAAATATAAGATACGATGCAATAAAACTTGTTGGCTAAAACACTTGTATAATAGCACTTTCATGTTAAATAAGTTCAGTTTTCAAAGATCATACTTCAAGTATTATGGCTACTGCTAATTTTCAATCCATTTTCAGGAACTTGTATTGTTGACCTCAGTTTCTGTAAATTTTAATTGTATTCTTTTTTAAAATCTAAAATAAACCAATAGAATAAAATAAATCATTCTAATGTATATAAAATACTCCCAAGAAACAAAAAATATTCAATTTCTCATGATATAAATATCAATCTGATTAAAACACAGATCTATATTTTTATACTTTCCATGTTCTCTACTACATGAAGATCTGACCAGTTGTAAAGGGAGGTCGCGTCAGGGTTCATATGAGTGGCTTTTGACCCTATGATGTCAGACATTTGATTAACCGATCAGCTTTGATATTTCTAGTAGGATACCCACAGTTCCGTGCATTGCACACCAAGAACTCGCTGGAACAGACCGTTTCATTGGCCAATTTCTCACATCAACTAGAAGGCGGGTTATATAATAACCTTTCCATATCCTAGTATACTAAAGACAAGCAAAATGAAATTTTGAAGTATAAAAAAACAAAACGAAATAGGATGTGTGTTTTAATCAGATTGATGTTTATATTCATTATTCACGTAATTATTAAAATCTAGTTCCATGAAACTAGTGTGTAATTAATATCCTACAGATAGTAAGATACTGTAACTATTTAATTACCAGTCTTTTGTACTGTTTACTTAGAATACAGGACCAAAATTACTGTTAGTAATCAAATGGTGTTAGTTTAGATAAGCTTAGTAATTTAGAAATGAAATGGAGTTTAACGTCCTACTGTTCTGCACCGACTAGGCTAATGAAGACGGGCATACTTTATTTTATGTTTACAGTATTGAAATAAATACTACTGGTGAAAGGTCATTTTAATACATTCATTTCTTGCTTATACGGTTATTCATTTCTTGCTTATACTGTTATTCATTTCTTTCTCACATTCATTTCTTGCTCATACCGTTATTCATTTCTTTCTCACATTCATTTCTTGCTCATACCGTTATTCATTTCTTTCTCACATTCATTTCTTGGCCTTGCCAATACCGTTATCCATTTCTTTCTCGCATTCATTTCTTGCCCATACCGTTATTCATTTCTTTCTCACATTCATTTCTTGCCCATACCGTTATTCATTTCTTTCTCACATTCATTTCTTGCCCATACCGTTATTCATTTCTTTCTCACATTCATTTCTTGCCCATACCGTTATTCATTTCTTTCTCACATTCATTTCTTGGCCTTGCCAATACCGTTATCCATTTCTTTCTCGCATTCATTTCTTGCCCATACCGTTATTCATTTTCTTTCTCACATTCATTTCTTGTTTTACAGTAATAACTAACCTGCACTGAACACTGTTTTTCTGTATTTATAGACTAGCTGTCTGTAATATATCTTCAAATAATTTCTTATAATGCCAAGTATCACCTTTAACTCGTTTACGACAAACACCCATATAAGAACTTTTTGGTATAGAACACACTTCCATATCAAAGGCCAGTTTAACACGACCCCAATCATCAGTAACAGTACATCGTAACATGTAACTGAAATAAACATTAATAAAATGAAGAGAGAGAGAGAGAGAGAGAGAGAGAGAGAGAGAGAGGGGTTTACCATCCACTCGACACAAACTATGTCATATCAGGACTAACATATGGTTCAATTTTATTTCAATAATTTTCATGTGTCTTGGGGTTTTTAGCAGTGGGAGGAACCAGAGCACCTGGAGAAATCCCACGAGGTTGGACAGGCAACCCTACTCCTTGTCACATACAACCGGGGAATCGAAAAAAAATGAATAGAAATAAAAAACTTAATTATGAGCAATAGTTAGTGAGGAAATTGATGGAATAGAGTTTAATGTTATGCTAACATAAATATTTTTGGGCAAGCATTTTTTATATTGTTCAGCCCATAAATTTATTTCTGAATCGGAAAGAATCATTTCTGAATCAGAAAGAATCATTTCTGAATCAGAAAGAATCATTTCTGAATCAGAAAAAATCATTTTTAAATCACAAAGAATCAAATTTGAATATCAGACATATTCTATAACTAAAAGTATTACTTACTCGCTTTGTTTAAAGGGAATACACTTGGCATCTATTGTTGATTTCAGTCTGTTCAATACGTAATCAGCATTAAATTCATTTGTTCTATATACATTGTGTAAAGCCTGAAATTTTTCATCAATAACTATAATTTATTAAAGGCAATCAGGTTTACCCTGTCTGAATGTTACGTCAGTTCATCAGCAAGGTCAAACATATGACATATTCAAGTTTCAGTACCATGCGAGTGTTGTAGGTTGCCAGGCAATGAAACATGCCCACAGCAGCTAAGTTGTTTGAGCAGTCATTAAAGGTTTTCACATTTTTATTCAATTGTAGGTAATAGAAGCATTTACAAGACACTAACAATTGATGACCGGCAACAAAACATGCAGTATTAATAAGAAATAATTAAAATCTGATCGACTTCTTGTTCTTCCTAGCACTAACACAGACTAAATGTGTACTGGTTATCAGGGGCAATAACTATGACAGCCACTATCAGAAATTGTTGAAATTCAAAAGGATTGGTGAGCGTATAAAAATAATTTTTTTGGCACCTTGTGAACCGATTTAAATTTAAAATTCATTATGAATTTAGTAACACAAGATTAAATTGAAAAAAAAAATACAAAATCGATAATTTTATATAATTGGAAATTGTTGAAATTCAGTAGGATTGGCGAGCATATAAAAATAATTTTGGGGGCAACTTGTGAACTAATTTAAATTAAAAAATTCATTATGAATTTAGTAACACAAGTAAAATCAACAATTTTATAAAATACACATGGAAAAGGATCTTTTTATCCTTCACCCTTGTATAATGTAACAATATATTTTTATACAGAAATTAGTAATGATAATAAAACTAATAAATGTACAAATGATAGGGAGAGAGAGAAAAGGGGTTTAACGTCCACTTGACACAAACTAGGTCATTTTGGGACTAACATATGGTTCAATTTTAATTCAGTGGTTCGCTTGCGCGTAGAGGTCTTTTAGCAGTGGGAGGAAACCGGAGGACCCGGAGAAAACCCATGAGATTGGACAGGCGACCCAACTCCTTGTCACGTACAACCGGGGAATAGAAACCACCCCAGTCGACTCAATAACAGACCTTATGATGTAGCGCGCACACGCTAACCATTTGGCCATCCAACCCTCCATTTTGGGACTAAGATATGGTTCAATTTTATTTCAATAATTCGCTTTTGTGTAGGGGTCTTTAGCAGTTGGAGGAAACCGGAGGACAGGCGAACCTTCTCCTTGTCACATACAAATGGAAATCAATACATTAATAATCGCCATTACATATTTTTTTTACAGAAAACAAATAAATTGTAGTAGTACCTTGACTTTTCTGGGTCCGTCTGATGTAGAGCCTTTATTTTTCTTTGGTGTTAACATATTAAAGACCTTCTCTAAACTACCAAATACAGCAGCTTTACGTGATTTCTGACTACTGATAGGTGTAGACATGTGTATTTTATATAGTTCATCATCAACTGATACAGTTCTAGAAATATAAAACACAACTATAATTCCCAGATAACTCAAATACTCATTTAAAAGGGCGTTTAATATATTTGAAATTAGCATGAATTAGAATTCAATTATTGCCATTAATATTGATGTTGTGGATTTATATCCAATATTCAAGACAAAATGAAGATTTTAAAATCAGTTACCAATGTCAGATTCTATTTGGTCTTGAACGTTGTTTGTAATGAACAAAGCAAAATATGTCTAACAAGGCAGAAATGAGATTTTTGAAAACGTATAAATATTTTTTTTATTAGATAGACAAATATTACTTACTTTTTATGTGCACCAAGTGGATTATCTGGTGGTAGATTGTTAATCTGGGAATCGTATGATCGAGATGGTGATAAAGTTGTACTCATAAACGATTTCTCACCTGATTTAGATGGCGTACACACTGTAATTAACAATAACTTAGTTTAACAACAGGCGCTTATATAAAATTTGTCAGGTAGAAATCTTTACTGTGTTACAGTTGCAACATTCCAATTGGAATATGACCATTTCTCTTGCATTTAAGAATATGCAGTTTCGACTGTTTCTTAGAATTAATGTCCTTTACAATGGATGATGTTATTGCACTGAGACTAATCACATTTCTGCAATCTGATTAAATATGTTAAAATATGAGTGAATGATGTTGGCTGTTGAACTCCTGTATACAATATTTGACAGAGAGAGGGATAGAGAAATGGGGTTTAACGTCCACTCGACACAAACTAGGTCATTTCGAGACTAACATATGGTTCAATTTTATTTCAATAATTTGCTTGCACGTAGGGGTCTTTAGCTGTGGGAGGAAACCGGGGGACCCAGAGAAAACCCACGAGGTTGGACAGGCGACCCTACTCCTTTATACGTACAACCGGGGAATCGAAACCATGCCAGTTGACTCAATGACAGTCCTTATAATACAGCGCGCTCGCGCTAACCATTCGGCCATCCCCCCCCCCCCCCCCAATGTTTTCTGTTATAGAATGTAAATTGTGTAAAACTTACATGTATCATCTAATGCTACTTGTAGTTGTTTTGACATGAGAGGTGACAAGGGTTTAGCTGGTGGCTCCGTTAAAGCTGAAGTCTTCTGATTTTTATATTGAGACTTTGGTGTAAATGGAACCACAAAATTCCTTTCATTTTCTTTATTTTCCTTATTGTCTTCGCTAAACTCTAGTCTCTCCCTGGCACGACCCTTGACCCGTTCTTCCTTCGAAGCTTTCTGTTTTTGATCACTATATCCATTAACACCTCGATTATTAGGAGTTAGTATATATTGGTTAGAATTTTCACCATCATCTTCAAGACTTAATGGTCGTACCTACACAAATTAGATAACATCAAACAATTTAAGATACTGATTTCACAAAAGAAATGAAATGGGGTTTAACGTATTACTGTTCTGCATCAATATGGCTTATGAAAATGGGCAGCGATGCTATGTGGCCTACTCTTATTTCTTTTTTCAAATGATTATGTGCTACCAATGTTATAAACTGGAGCTGTTTTTCATCCCATCCCTACAATATGTTTTTATTGCCAGACCCTTCGTGCTGCAACACTGACATGGGCAATCCAGTCTGGCAAATCTCAAGGAACTATCTCACCCAGATCAAATCTGGGACCTCCAGGTTAGTGAGCTATTGCCATACTACAAAAGAGCACTGTACATTGTTCATATAAAAACAGAGGCATGTATAGAGCATGTCCTGATCCTTTAAAGATACATTATAGGAGATAAGATAAAGAGCTGGATAAGTTAATTAATGTCTAATCAACAATTTATATTATATAACATTTCAGGCCTAAAGAAAGACCTGAAATAGGCAGATTTAGCTCTTGCATAATGTATGTTTAAATAAAGTCATTATCATTATTATTATTAGTTACCTTAGATTTATCAGTAGCTGTTGGTTTCTGTAATAATCTAACCGGTCGACCTTTCATTTTCTTCTCCAGTAATAAGAAGTATGAAGCAGTTAAATAATCATAGTTCCACTGAAATAACAAATCAAAATATAGTTTAACATAACCGCAAGCTAAAACTAGTCTAACAGTGATATGACAGGGGAAGAATTTTGCCCAGATAGCAGCTTTTCTGCCTACATCCTGGCACTAAATACACTTTCCTTTTGTTTAAATTCCTGAAGGTTCATCTCTTATACTGAGATTCCAGTGTCGTTACCACATATTAATGAATGTAGATCCCAACCGGGCGTATATTGAATAATTCATGATAATATAAAGTATACAATCAGCTTTCAGTTAATGGGAGGCAACTATATGTAAGTATTAAATAAAAGTAAAGTCTCTTTGAGAAGATGAAAAACATATTGTCTTGCATTTGTCCTGACATAATGCAAGTTCTTGGTGCCAAAATTAATGTCTTCCCAAAAGAAAAAAAATCATATCTCTTAATGGCACACTCCCTGAAGCCTTGGATTAAATGCCACATTAAGTATATGTACTCTTTATGTGGTCAGATAAAGTAACCCTGGTAATGGTCAGTTGGTCATCTGACAGTTATTACAGGCTAATGGCACAATGAAATGTTAATACAATGAATAATTTTGTGGGAGATCAACAGTTTTCATTAAACATATTTACCTCAGAAACTTTAGCTTCCATTTCTCTTCTTTTTTGACCATAATGAACTGCTAATTCTGTTAAACAATCTTCATCTAATGTCATCTGATTTTAAAATATTTTAAAAAATGATAATTTTTTATTCCTACTCAAAATGTCTAGGAATATGAGTTTATTAAAGAAAACTATTTTGGGATTCTGTTTGTGTAAAAACACACTAAATTTATTTCTTTCTGAAAGATAAAAATCTGATATTTTTAATGACCAGAAAAAAATTATAGACTCAAACTGCCTAATAAACCACTAAGTCCCAGTTGCTATCTTTGTACATGCATTACTCATATAATACTAAGAGCACACTCAATAGATAGTCAAGTATATTCGATATTCACAGAAATGCAATCAAGTGACACTGATTTTAGTCCTGTCACAGTTTTATCATTCCAAATACATGTAACTGAAAATAATTGAGATTTTTTCAGTGGATTTGTTATGTAATTAAAAACAGCAAAAATAATATTTCTGGTGATTATCTTATTCAGTCCAAAATCCACTTTAGGCAGCATTGATAGAATTCAATTCCATAATGTTCAATTGAATATCCTCTAGATAGCATCATGATTGGTGTTGTAGTATACATAGTTTTTTCAACTGAGGATTATATTGAGTGTTACGTTAATAATTATTGATGGACATCTGATTGACCACAATTAGTAAGAGAATTTATTACCTTATATTTACTTTCAAATTCACATGGAATGTTAAAACCTTTACGTAACCAGGGATGATTGATTAATTGTTGAATAGATATTCTACGTTTGGGATCAACTTGTAACATCTGAGCTATTAATATAGAACTTTCAGGAGTTAACCAATCAGGTACTTCATACTTTCCACTCTGAAATATTCAAGGTATTCAGCTACATAGGTGATTTTAGGTAAAAAAAACATACATGTTAATTTGGTAGACACCAACAATGTCCTTTAAATCATACATGTTAAATTGGTAGACACCAACACTGTCCTTTAAATTACAGTTATTAATACTGCAAAATGTTAATAGTTTTTTCTAAAATATAAATGTGGGCGTGTTGATTACCTGTATTTTACGATATAAAGATGGTATCTTCTCATCATCAAAGGGCAGATAACCACATAATAAAGCATATAATAAAACACCCATACTCCATAAGTCAGCCTACAAAACAAAGAACAAATTCAATAATTAATTAATTTCTCAATCTAATGAATTAGTTCAATAATTCATTTCTTTCTCATGTTATTTTATAAATAATAATCTCCTAATTTATCTAAGTTTCAGGATGAAAAGTTATTGGAATACAATATGTATTAATTGTTCTTATGTCTGTTTAAAATATTATTCAGAATCTTTTTTTCTTCAAGGGGGGTTGGATATCCGAATGGTTAGCACATGCGTGCTGTATCATAAGGTCTGTCATTGAGTCAACTGGCGTGGTTTTGAATCCCCGGTTGTACGTGATAAGGAGTAGGGTTGCCTGTTCAACCTTGTGGGTTTTCTCCGGGTCCTCCGGTTTCCTCCCACTGCTAAAGACCCCTACGCACAACCGAATTATAGAAATAAAATTGAACCATTTGTTAGTTCCGAAATGACCTAGTTTGTGTCGAGTGGTCGTTAAACCCCATTTCTCTCTCTCTTTTTTTCTTCAAATTTTTATTAGTCAATATGTAAACTACCTCTGCACCAAGATATTGTTTTCCTGAGATGAGTTCAGGTGCAGCATATGCTGGACTACCACAACATGTAAACAAATGATTCTCCATACCACCCTGAAAAATATGGAAATTGATTAAATGGTTAAACTAAAAATTACAATATGATGTCAACTAGGTAAGGGTTAAAAGTTTTTATTTTCTCTCTTTTTTTTATTAATATCACATCACAAATCTATTTACATTATTTCAAAAGTCAATAATACAATGACATAAACTTTTGAAAACAAATTTCTGCCGATTATATAGCTCACCTTGGGCTTAGCACATAAACCAAAATCTATCAATTTTAAATTCTGATCCTCATCAAGTAGTAAATTTTCCTGCAAATAAAATAAGAAAAAATATAATGTACAAAAACTACATTAATAATATGGAAAACTGTTTAGAAATGGTACAAAACAGGAGGGATATAAAGTATTATTATTTTGGCTACATCCTATTTCGTTAATTTTCCTTCTGGACAGTACTGAAAATCGACATTGACAATTTTTTTGAATATCAGCATACTGTATTTTTAATAGTAATGATTGCTTTCAATGTTCAATCGTAAATAAACAACAAATGATAAAGAAAAACAATTGCAAAAATCCTTCTAAAATCCAGTGTTCAATTAGTAAATCAATGATAAGGGGGGTAACTCTGTATATTTCTCCCTAACGCAATATTATCTCCCCTTGGACCACAAAAGTGGCTAAATTTCAAGCGTTTAGAAATGGTACAAAACAGGAGAGATATAAAGCATTATTATCTTGGCTACTTTTCATGTTGTTAATCCAATTACAAGTAACTCAATTCAGCCTATCATTTTATGGATTCTCATCTCTGACTACAATTTTGGACTTATTACATTATGTCCTGTCCATAGTTTGTCTTGTGTAATTGTTTACTTGAGGTGTGGTCCTCCTGCACTTACTATACAGTATTTGTATCGCACAGGACAAATGAATTAAATCAAGTCTTGTGCTGATCAAATTAAAAGTAGTAATTATTATGAATACATACCGGTTTTAGATCTCTATGAGCATATCCTTTAATGTGTATATAAGCAACAGCTGATACAATCTGTCTAAAAAATATTCTAGCTTCTGCTTCATCTAGTCTATCTTTAGATACAATATAATCAAACAATTCTCCTTCTGGACAGTACTGAAAATTAACATTGACAATTTTGGGGAATATTAACATACTGTATTTTTAATAATAATGACTGCTTTCAATTTTCAACTGTAAATAATCAACAAATGATAAAGAAAAAGAATGACAGAAATCCTTCTAAAATCCATTGTTCAGTGGTGAAGGGGGGGTAACTCCGTTTATTTCTCCATAATGCAATATTATCTCCCCTTAGACCACAAAAGTGGCTAAATTTCAAGAAACTGCAGAACCTGTATATTTAATGTAGCCACAGCATTACAAGACAATAACCTTGAACTGAATAAAAGTCATTCAAATTTCTCACCATATTAAAATGGATCCAGATTAAAAATGGCCATCAAAAGTTTAATGTGTAAAACCTCATACCTCTAACACCATATAGAATCTGGTTTCAGTTTCTAAAACTTGATATAATTTACAAATATGTTGATGACAAAGTTCCTTCATGGCAGCTATTTCCGTTTTAACTCTTGGTAAATCATCCTACAATAAATATTAAACCAATTAACCCCCTGTGGCTTCAGTTATATTTACGATTACATACAAATTAAAATGTTATTAAAGGTCTATGTTACCATTCACATTACCTGTTCTATCATATTATATATTTAAAATAGGTGGAAATAAACATTGTTCTTTAAGTATTAAGGAAATGATTTCAAGAAATGTACCTTAACATGGAAATAAATTTAGATCTATACTTTTTTCAATCTAATAAGAATTATATCTTTATTTTATCTTTTATGTTTCAGATATAAAAACTAACATATTTTCAACAATGCACATGCATAAGACTTCTGTGAATTTATAAGTAGATCAATGGATGTCTTGGGAGTCATTGGAGTACCTGTGTTTTCATTGGCTGCTTGCAACACAAGGGAGAACATGACACAATGATGTTCAGTAAAATTCAGTCCATTGAAATTAAAATCCAGGATTTAAACTAAATTCTTTTTTTTTTTTAAAATACATCTTATTTTAATTCAAATTGTACTGTTTTTGTTCCTTTATTTTTATTATAAATTTGTTGAACAATTTGAAAATAATCTTATTTTATGACACTTTGTAATCAATATCTAATGTTTTCAATGAGATATTGACTACTGGTACATGCATAATTTTAATCTTTTTCTAGATTAACAATTTTTTTTATCTATATCAGTATTGTGTGTAGCGTATTTTACTGACAGTACTGGAATTACATCATACCCCTAATGCTCTTTTATCCATTATCTTTATGGCTACTTTTTCACCTGTTAAGGCATGATAGGCCAACTTTACTTTAGCAAAACCACCTGAAATATAAATGTGAAACACAGTCGTTAATCAATGACAATAACCCCATAAAATGTTCTAGATCGTCAGATTTTGTGCTACTATACCATACATCTCAGTGCTGGTCAATTATAACATAGAATTTTAGGGAGAGGGGTTTTACATAGGCTATGCCTGTTCCCCAATACCATTCAGACAACCTGAATAAAAATATTGTTTAAAAAAACCAAAAAAAAACATAGAATTTTCTTTCATACTTGAAACAGTTAATCTGTGAACTGTCAACACCACACATTCTAGTACTAGTACAAGAATAAGGCTATCAATGCTGATAATGGTTTATACCATTAATAATACAACTATATCAGCAAGATAATTACATCACCATCTTTGTTATGTTATTTAAATAATTATGCACTGTAGATTATTTCATTGTTTTGAAATTGATCATTTTTGATGATACATGTTCACAGCACTTAAAATGATGGTGTCTGAGTCTGATCATAATTTTGTTTTGTTGATATAGATAAGAAATACACAATGGTACATAAATTAATTTAACTGGAGATATACATGTACAGGTTACATTTAACATATACATACTTGTTTTTAAAAAATCTCAATTTCACAGAAGAGCAAAATAAAGCTGCTTGATTTACCTGAACCTATGGTTTCTCTTAAATGGTAGAAGCCCTTTAATTCTGGATATTGAGAACTCATTTTGGAATGTTCAATCTATCAGATATTTACAGTATTATTAATGATACCTGGAATAGAAAAGGGACAAATATTTAATATACACCTATCTACTTATTCCCTTGTATATTGGATGAAAACAAGGATCAAAATCAAAATTAGTCTTCCACTGTCAACACAGTAAGAAAGGCAAAATCATAACTTGGACCACTTGATCTGCTCAAAACCCTCTTTTACATCATTATCTTATAACTTTCACCACTGTTTACATTTTTAAGAAATAATAGACAATTCGTCCTTAATTAAGGCTTAATTAGTTCACGTCATGTATTTTGTTTTCTAAGTTTGTATTATTTGTGTTGTGATATAATAAGGGAGCCACAGTGGCTCAGTGAGTAAGATGTTGACTTGGGTTTGATCCTGGTGTTGGTTGAGAAAGGTCATTGGATTTTCCTGCTTTTTTCGACTTTGTCAATGTCAGTTGTTCAGGACAGAGGGACTGGAAAGGGACGACATATAGTCGTTTGGGTTGGACGAAAAACCTAGGTCCTGTGTACACATGGTGTGCACGTAAAAGAACCCTTGTTAAGACGGAGTTCGAAAAAATAGCAGGCTGTAGTGCCGATGTTTGGACAAAATTCTTTCTTTGTGATGTATATTATTCTAGTTGTTGATCTTATTTAATGACTTATGTGGTTTTATTTCATAAACTTTCTAATAACAGACCAAACCAATTCATTAATTTGACCTAAATTTTAAATCAATTCAAAGACTGAAAGCGGCAAGGGTTTCCCCTTTACAATATGCAGAAAGATCCAGATTTGGTGCTAGTCTAATCAATATATTATAAAACAAATAAATAAATAAATCATAAAGAAAGAAATTAAATATTTAAATGACACATCAATGCATATTTTTGACATACAATGTGAATGTTCACCCAAAATAAACAAGCCAAGGTCAGTCTTTTTAGAGTAACATCAATTAAAATGATAATGATGTCTTTTTTACAACTTTTTGTCGAGTTTTCCCAATACATTTGCTAAAACTATAATTTAAAAAAGCACCTTTTAGCAGTTATTGTGCTCTAAAACACCACATAACCATAAAAATAACAGTAACTTGATGTCAGCATGTACTTTATCAACTTTGTTTTGGATCTATACAGTTTTGAAATTGGCTCCTTTTCATACATGACCAATCGGCGCGCTAATCATTTGACTTCCGCAACACCAAAAGAACAAATTTTAATTTTTTTCCTCGCCAATCAATGGTTTAAAAATAACACAAGCCAAAATATAAATTATAGACATTCAAATTGATCACTTTAGTCTCTTAGTTTATCATGATTATTTTCAAAGAATACATTTTTGATTTGGTGCGGGATTACAATCGTTTTCATACTTAAAAATGGCGTCCGACGATGAGGTAAATTTTTTAGCTTTTTTAGGGCAAAAAATTGTAAAATACACCCTTCATTCCCTTAATTTAGAAATAGTACTCATTTTGTGAAACATTGTTCACTATGGCACAATGTTCTCAGAATAATTATATGAAAATGTCTTTCTATAGCTTTAAATGTCTGGAGATACAAACAAATTGGCTGAGAAAAGAAATGAACTTCGGTCACTGACTTAGCCGACTTAGGACAAAGGCGGAAGTTCTGACTTTTTTTAATGTCAGAGGTTGAGCCACCATAAAAATTGAATTGTTTTTGTACCATATAAATGAACTACTTAATTAAAGTTATTTAAAAAGTTGACCCTGTTTGAAATGATTACATGATGTTTCGGTCCAGTAACATTCATTGGATGCGGGTCAGTTCATCCCACAACCGTTTCACCCGGGGCTGTTTCATCCCAACCTAATTTTTTATCGGGCTGTTTCATCCCCCTTGTTATTATAATAGCAGTCAATTAACTGAGTTGTACTTATCGTTAAATAAACTGTTAAACACTTACTTATTGTTAAATAAACAATGTATGGAATGAATAAGTTTTACTACTATACTAGTCGAATTTTGTTGATTACCAATCATGACCGAGATTAGTTCACCGCTGTATAATATTCGTATTGTTTATTCGTATTGTTAGTTCACCGATGTTTTTGTAATAAGTATACTCGTATGTATTGTTTGTTAGTTTATGATGTCTAACATCATTTATCTTCTTTATAAAAAGGTATTTTATAATTACATATTGACAGCTTAATTGCGCAGGAGCCCCTTTTAAATAAGACAAATTAGATTGATAATTAATTTTAAAACTAATCGTTGATTTAATTTCCGTACACGAAATGAAACTAAACAATTCCAAATAAAAGAATTCATTTAGAATACCAAAATGTGAATCGTAACACATTGTGGTTTAAACTGTGTGATAAATGATAAAATAAATCGTAAATCAATGGAACTTGTTGTAAGGTGGACATTGCATGCTTTCATTTAACGTTGGGTTATTTGAGGCGCCAGGTAGACTGAACATCTCAAGATAACACGTGTTGAAATAGTGGCTACTTGCAATTTTATTCTTTGATCTGTTCTATCACTGGCAATCCTGTTTATAGTGAAACCAACTATTCATGATAAAATTGCATTGACATATTGTTATTGGTATTAATGTATAAATAAAATATTAAAAATTCATGTAATACCGGTTTTTAAATTTGTGGGATGAAACGACTCGATATAAGTGGGATGAAAGGACCCGTGTAAATTTGGGATGAAACAGCCCGGGATGAACTGGTAGTGGGATGAAATGACCTGCTACCACATTTATTTACATTACGCCGTTACACAGTCCCACAAAACATTTTGTATTGCATGCTTCAAAAAATATGTCTTCGACATTTCGGAATTGGGTAGGCCTAGGTGACGTTTCAGATTTGAGTGAACGACAGTTGGGACTTGAGAATCAGTTGAACACAAAAGTCAAATTACATGTCATGTAGTTAAGAACCCCAAAATGATTTTATAAAATAAGACGCAAGTATGCAGGAAATATTTACCGTTCATCATAAAGTACGAAGCAAGGGTCACACACACAAAGACATGTAAATATGTGTTTCTTTGTGTCTGTTTGAAAAGAAAAAAAAAATAGCTTTTCAAATTTATTTAAATTAGACCAATTCAAAACACGAAAGAAAATATTTAGCATGACACACACACATGATTATTAAAAGGACCTCCAAATGATAAAACATTAGCTGCACTTACAATTCTTTGATAACAGTTATTTTCCGTAATATTATTAGTAATATATTAAAAAAGGATGAATTTATTTGAAAATAAATTACCGGTACTAGAAACACAAACGAAAATAATGGTAGATTTGGGTAAATCCTGCTACTACAATACTGTTAGCTGATGAATAGAACCCTTGCCATGTCTATGCTCTTTGAATTAACTGCTGTGCAGACTATACAAGTACTGGTATTTGAATTTTTGTTTTTTCAGGATGAAGAGCTCCATGCACTGCGATTAGCTGTCCTACAGTCGATGAAAAATGTGGGTATTTTCAGATATTTATTGAACCACTTTTATTTTCATTTGGATTATTACATGTTAAGTTTGGGTGTTTTATTGTTTGTAGAAGAACATAATAGAATAATAGAAAGCTATGATTAATCTATAAGCTTAAAGGAGATTATCAGAGGTGCATCTAGCCAGTTTACATTAATGGAAATTTGTATTTTGATAAACTTTCCCCATTTATACAGAAATTAGAAAACTCAAATATCATAATGATGCTATCCAGTGGTAGACCACAGGACACAGACATAGTCACTTGAAAATACTATATTTGACCAACCAAGTAACTGTACATACTGTAATGAATGCATACCCATTGTTGATTACAGTACTTAATAAAAAATCTGTAGAATCTATCCTTGTATCTCTCAGAAATACATAATACTGGTACATGATTCCTGTTATTGTTTGTGCGAGTGAACATGTACATTATGCCACTGAGGACTGTATGCTCATTTGATTGACCTTTTCCCCACATTCTGTTGTGCATAGGAGCTTATTCCGTTGAACATGTTATGTCGTGTTTATTCATGATATAACATTGACTTATATGATTATATACTTGTATGATTAATAAAAACTTATATTTGTTTGTAGAAACTAGCAGCAGAAGAACCGAAACCACCTGAAGAAGTGGTATCTTTTAGAGATGCAGTTTTACCTACCAAACAACAACATGCGATTGTAACTCAAGTACAGCAAGTAATGGTACCTACATTGTGTCTCATCTATATTAGTGGGGGGTTGGATGGCCGAATGGTTAGCTCGTGCGCGCTGTATCACGAGGCCTGTCATTGAGTCAACTGACATAGTTTCGAATCCCCTGTTGTACATGACAAGGCGTCGGGTTGCCTGTCCAACCTCGTGGGTTTTCTCTGGGTCCTCCGGTTTCCTCCCACTGCTAAAGACCCCTACGCACAAGCGAATTATTGAAATAAAATTAAACCATGTGTTAGTCCCGAAATGACCTAGTCTGTGTTGAGTGGACGTTAAACCCCATTTCTCTCTCTCTCTCTCTTTCATCTATATTAAAGGATAATTACACCAGTTGAAGATTCTTTATATATTATTCATTATCTACTATTAAAATAGTTTGTACAATGGAAAACCGAAAGAACAACCCATGGCCTATACAAAATAAACTGATGAGTCTGTGTTAAAATTATATTTGGAACGTGTTTAACCAGTTCTATCATGTGATAAGGACTGACATCAATATTTTCCTTTAAATCAAAAATTTATTATTATCGTGGGTTAGCATGTGCACTGCTTTGTTCACAATGGATGACAGTTACCTTCGTAACATCACAGATTTGTTCTTCAGGTTCAACATGACTAAAACTATTTCAATACGGGATAATGATTAATAGACTATAAGAATCAGCCATGACTGGACTTATCCTTTGAGCCTAATGTTTTCATTGTCTGATATAGGGTTGATATATACTAATATTTGTGACTGTCGTTTGTCTGTTTGTCTGTCTGTTCGGGGTTTACGCTACACTAGGTCTGCCCCGAGTCTGAAATTTGGGGTATAGGGGTAGCTCGGACCGGGGAGTAACATAGGCCAGGTAGCGTTAGTCTACCACTTCCGGTTTCGGGGTTATGACCCCCGAGCGAAGCAGGGCATTCTTCTAGTATATTCTTAAAATTGTATGCTTCCATATTGTTATCTTTCATTCAAACTAAATTCTAATCCAATACACAGTAAATACAGTATACCAAGGAATTGTTGTTAGAATGGCCAAGAAAAACTTAGTGTCTCAAAAGTTAAAAATGTAGCTAAAATTTTAATAGTGAGTGCAGGGGGACCGCACTAAACACAATCTAAACTGAAAAGACAAACCTGGGGCAAGACACAATTACACAGAAATTACAAGCAATAAACAACAAATATCAAATCAAGTGAATTGATCCGGGGCCCAGCAGTAAGCGTCCACTGTGCTGTACAGTGCCTGGTCTATAATGATATAGGCTTCACAGTATTCACTCTAAATGAAAAACAAAACAATGATTTACAAGAAAGGCACAATGGTGCGACTGTATTTGAGTAGTTTCTCTGTTGCTGGATAAAATTTAATCCAGTATAGATTGTAAACAAAATTTAATTTAAACATACATGCAAGAGCTAAATCTGCTTATTGCAGGTCTTTCTGTAGGCCTGAAATGTTATCTAAATAATTAATTAGACATTAAAATTAATTTATCCAGACTATAATCCACTCTCGATACCATTGCTAGCCTGCGATATTTACTGGATTTGATGATTTAACGTGAAAATGGATGATCAAGACTTTGTTTTTTTTATTATACCAACTTTAGTAATGATGATCAAGACTAGGTCTAAAATTCAATTACTAATAGCTCGGTTCTGAGTGGAGCAATTTGACTGAAATTTTCAGCATATTCTCTTTACATTATCTATTTTTTAACTATTATAGCGAGAACTGTCAACTCCCATAATGCTCCATTAATGAATCGTACAGTTTACTTAATCATTAACTTTTTTTTAAAATTTCAGTCAAGCTCTCCATGGAATAATCCCCATTCTAATTCGCCAAAATATGCACAGTCAAATTTTCATGGCAATTTTAATCAGGGTGGTTTTCGTGGTAGACCTGCCCGTAATAGCAACCTCATTGTTATTAACCCGGCACCTATGGAACAACCTGTTAAAGAAACACCAAGAATCTCTACCACCACTACCACAACAAATAAACCCATGTTGATTCGTCCACAAGACAAATGGTGTGCCTCGGACACAAGACCAGTTACTGTTGAACAACCAAAGAAAGAAAAAGGTTAAATTGCATTTAGTTGATTCATAATTAGAGTATTCTCAATGTAAAACTTAATTGGTGGCCAAAGTAATAATTTAACTGCCCTAAAAAAAACTTAGTAGAGTTAAAAAAAAAAAAACAATAACAACAGTATATACATGTATTAAAGGAACATAGTATGTTAGTCCCGAAATGACCTAGTATGTCTGCAATATTGATCTGTTCGTAAAAGAATGCTGGACTTTTCTGAGTTACTGTAGAATGAGTGAGTGACCTGCTATTAGAATATAAAAAAAAATATTAATATGGTTATCCAGACACTAAAATGATGTAGAATTTTCGGATTTATTGCCAATCCAACATTGAAATTGAATCTGAATTTGTAATTTCAATAGGTATCACGCAGGTTAGGTTCAAATAGTTGAAATGGACAATGTTTAAAAGGACTCAAAAGGCTATATTATTCAAACTGAATTAACCCGTTTTATTTACTTAAATATATCTCCTTCATACAAAAACAGCAAGTGCACAAGGTGCAAATTGAAACATCAAAAATTCTAAATGAATCAAACTTTCAGCTACTTGAATCCACCACAACCGCCATCCCTGCAAACAGATGAGCCAGGTGGTAAGTGGTATCAGATGTTCAAGAAAGTAATTGAAATGAAATGGGGTTTAGTATCCTGCTTTTCTGCTCCAGCTGTTCTAATGAAGATGCATGGCCTACTCTTTATTTCGAATTCCAACTGTCAAGAGTTCTTTTGCGCTCATGCCAATGTGTACATGGGATCTCAGTTTTCGTACACTGTTCTTTGCTACTCCTGCACCACTGGCAAACAGAAACTTTCTTGTTCAACATGGGGATCTATCTAACCCTTGACCTCAGGATTAGCAAGCCAGCATTTTACTCCCTGAGCCACTGCAGGTTACAAAAGTAATAGACTGTGTCTCCTAAATATTGACTGCCAGTAATGGCTTTGAATTTTGTTCTAAAATTATTTTTTTTATGCTTTCAGCTTCAAGTAAATTTTCAAGATTTGATACAAGTGATAGTGAAAGCTCAGATTACTCGAGTAGCAGTAGTGACTCAGAGGAAGAAGAAAAAGAGAAAGTTTTATCACCTGTACATAAAAGTGACATTGGTTCTGATTCAGATAATTTTGATTTGGAAAGTGATATAGAAACGCAAATAGACAATATATTGAATGATTCAGTGAAAAAAGCAGATACAAAGGAGGTTGTGAAAGAAGAAAAAAAACTGTCCCCAGAATTGCCGAAACAATCTGCTACTATAAATCTTCCTCAGAAGAAAGAAACAGCTGAAGCCCCTAAAAAACAAGTAGTTGAACCTCTGCAAAAACAAACAATTGAGGTTCCTAAAAAGAAAACTGTTACGAAAATTGAGGCAAAGCCCATACCTACGCTGACCAATATGTGTAGAAATAAACCGGTTAAGAAAGAAAGTAATTGTTGGTCTGACAGCGACAGTGATACTGTGACTAATACTCTTCCAAAATCCAAAAATAAACGTTCTTGGTCTGACGAAGGCAGTAGTGATGAAAATCAAGTTCCTAAGGCCTCAAAAGAAGGCAAAACTGCTCTTTCTTCCCTTTCTAAAGTGTCTGAGATTACAAAAACTAATAAGAGCGAAATAGAAAAACTTGAACTGAAGCGTACTCTTGAAAATGACTTACAAAAAACTCTAAATGCTTTACAGACCATAAAGGAAAAACGTCAAAAACAAGAAGCAGCAAGAAAAAGTTCATTACCCGATGTCACCTCATCAGAGAAATCGAATAAAGATTCCCCTCTTTCAAAGCGGAAATCACCAAGATCCATTTCACCGTCCTCATCTAGATCTCCTTCACGGTTATCTCAACACAAACAGCCATATTCCCCATATAAATCTTCTTCTGGCAGAAGATCACCTTCACCCAGATGTAAAAGATCACCCTCACCCAGACGTAAAAGATCACCTTCGCCCAGATGTAAAAGATCACCATCACCCAGACGTAAAAGATCACTATCACCCAGGCGTAGAAGATCACCATCACCCAATCATAGCAGATCACCATTACCCAGACGTAGGAGATCACCATCATCCAAACATAGCAGATCACCATCATCCAGACATAGCAGATCTCCATTATTACCCAGACATAGAAGATCCCTATCACCCAGACATAGCAAATCACCAGACACAAGACGCAAACGATCTCCTGCTTTAAGACGATCAACAAGTCGGTCACCAAGTAGACGTAGAGAAAAACGTATCTTGACGAGTGAAGAACGCAAAAAAATTGAGGCAAGGCGAGCCAAGTTTGAAAATAGAGAGATTGTGCCTATTAAGAAAACCGTTTCTTTAAAAGGTATAACACGCCGATCGAAATCAAAAGAGAAAACACACACAGAAAAGTCTGAGCCCTTAATTAAAAGTGGTAAACCTAAAGTTAACAGAACTCAAGAAAAGCGCAAATCGAGAGAATCAAAGGAAAATGAAAATAGTGATAGTGAAAGTTCAGTGTCATCAGTTAGTGATAATGATAGTAGTGATGATGAAGATCGATCGTGGCGCAAGGAACAAAACCAAAATAAACACGCAGAAATTCGTAAACGAGTGGAGACTACGAGAGAAAATGTACACCTGGACAGAAAACCTCGTGAAGATAGAAAACCTCGTGAAGACAGAAATATCACTAAACTTAAACATGAGAAGGGTGAGAATGGAACCAGTAAAAATAAATCTAGTCATTTAACTAATAGAAATTATAGTCATATTTACTCAGACAATATAGATAGAGGCTTTGATGCCACAAATTATCGAAAAACTGATGTCACTCAAAAATCTGCCTCGGATGACAGTGATTCCGACGAGAAGTGCAAGAATAAAAAGCTTGTTAGTGTTGTTCTGTTGAATAAGAACATTGAGGAGACTAGTCCTATGAGAAAAGTAGAAAGATCAGAAAGGGGATCAAAGTCACCAAGACAAGATAGAGATAGAAATAAAATTCTTAAAATTAAGAGGAAAGTGATAGCCGATGATAATCTCCCTTTCACTAAAAAACCTAAAAACGAGGATATCAGAGATGCCTCTGAGCTACTTCAGGGTGTAAGAAATAGAAAAAACTTATCTCGTAAAGCTGTATTCCGTGAAGATGGGCGTAACAGCCTAAGTATCACAGTCCAAGATAAAAATAGCAATAGTGAATCTCCACCGAAGCCATCTGTTCATGAACGTTTGGGTAGAAAAGTGCCAAGTCTCATGTCTCTATCAATAAAATCAGATGACTTTGTGAAAGTTTCTAAGAGAGATTCATCTCCTGAGTATTATGACTCTAAAGTTGTGAAGTTAACTACTAAAGACAATGATTCATCATATGAATCTAGAAAAAGTAGACCTAGATCAGAAGATAAAAAAAGAAAGAGAGTAAAAAGATCGGTTATTGATGAAGATCAAACGACGGAATTACAAGGTAAAGTACACATTGTATTTAAAACTGTCATGTATAATGAATAGATATGAAATGAAATGGACTGGGGTTTAAAGTTCTACATTTCTGCACCGATTGGAGAGAGAAAAATAGGGTTTAACTTCCACTCAACTCAAGGCATTTCGGGACTAACATGGTTCAATTTTATTTAAATAATTTGCATTCGCTTAGGGGTCTTTAGCAATGGGAGGAAACCAGAGAAAACCCACATGGTTCGACAAGCGACCCTACTCATTGTCACTCAGCTCAATGACTGACTTTCTGAATCAACATGCACGCTTTAACCATTTGGTCACCCAAACCCCTGTACCAATTGGGCTAATGAAGACGGTATAATACAGAGAAAGCACTGACTACATCCTGTATCTAATGTAACATGATCTCCCATTTTTGGTGTCAAAATCAACATAAGAATTACTCTTATTTGACACATTCCTCTTTATTGTCATTAAACATAATGTCTGACATGCCAAATGTAAAAATTTGCCATTTTTGCACACTGTGCCTTGATGACATTGGCATCTCCATGACTTGTATTTAGCTAGTCAGAATGTGTAGAAGTTCTTGTGTGGTGTATGTAGTCTAGTCATAATGACACCCAGTCATCAAAAACTTGATTCAATAATGAATAGTTGTTTGCTTTGCTCTCCCTAATAATCAAGGCATAGATTTGATAATTAGATATAGATTACTGTCAATGTTATGGCCTTCGATTAATTTGAAAGATCTTGTGGACATTTATACTAAGGCACTAATATTATCATTCAAGTGGCTGGAAACTTAGAACGATTTCTGAGGTTGTCTGTCTAGATGTCTTTATGCTCCTGTTACCTACAAAAGAATAAATATGCAACAACCTTTGAGGTGAGTTGAAGAAGAATGAACCATGTATGATTATGTTTTTGTTATGAAACACATATTATATATTAATTATAATTATATATTTCAGATGGACCTGATGATGCTTTAGAAAAACGTATTCAGATGATAAAAGAGAAAAATGCGGCCATATTGAAAAGACAAGCTGAAATTCAGAAAGATAAAGAGAAATTTGGTTAATTCAACTGCTTTTGATAGGTTTGATATTAAGATCATCTTGCCTGAAATATATTCCATCTGAAAAATGTGTTCTGATTAGATCCATAACATAACTAAATGTTTTTGAAATAATTTTTCCAAGAATTTCAAGACGGACATGTATGTACATGTATACTATATCTACATGTTAGATCTTTTTTTCCAGTCACGGAAAACCTATGTCACTACACACTTGAGATACCCCACCTTACTGACCTTTTTCTGGTTTTAAATAATAAAGAGCAGTGCTTATAGAACAGACTCTTTTTTGCACAATATCTGTTGAACCGAGAAGAAGCCATATTTTTACATGGGTTGGGGTTGACTTCAAATATTAGGAATGTGAATGATTTCAATTTACAGGAATTTTTTACTGTCTTCTGTCTGTTTAATAATACATAATCAAATGCAAATAAACTTGCCATTAATATGTATTAACATTTTAACTTATAAAATATATGATTTGTGTTTCATTACATGTACATATATAATTATACATACAGTGTATAGCTAAATACAGTTGATTCCCATTGACTAGAACATCTATATATTTACAATGGTAGTGTATTAAACAGGTAGCCATTGTAACTTACGGTTGATTCTACTTGTGCTGTGTTGATGCTCTAGCTATTTGTTACACACAAGAACAAGAGATTCCCAATTCAAAATAGAGTTTACAGTGAGCTTATTTGGGGACAGATCTTTAGGAGAGGAAACGGCAGGAACCAAGCAAGTTTGGCATTCATCCATCCTCCTCATTTGATAACAAAAGTCGTGCTGTGCAACCTTTCCCCTCTTTAGTTGGACAACATTTTTATATGTACTTAGCACAAGGACGACGTCTTTGATGAAAAAAGCCCATGATACCTCCTAGTATGTAAATGGAAGTGCTCATTTTCAAAAAAAAAATACATTTCAAAATATGTATATTCTTTTAACTGTTCATACTGATTGCTATGTTTTACTAACATCTTATGACAGAAAATGATTAAATTTGTGATGTTTATTAAATTGTATATGTTGATTTTTGTTTTGTATAGAGTTGATCATGTATGTGTGTCAAATTATGATAATAAATATATGGTGCATTTGGAGGATTTAAATTGTTTCTTTTTCAGTTAAATTTGAACAAATTGTTAAAGCTTACCGCATTTACATAGTAAAATTTGTTTACCTTGTGCAATATTCTTTTAATTCCTTTATGCGAATAAATCTATAGTCAAGAAGCAACAATCAATAATCCACTTAAAATTGAGACCAGATATGAATTGGTTTTGTTTTTCTATGTAGAAGCGGTTATTGCATTATTTTATGTTCATATATTCAAGACTTACTGTCGAACATAATAGTATAAAATAATGAAATGTTACTAATGCCGATTAAGTTAATCGAAATCCTGTAAAAATATATATATGTTAAAACAGATATAACTGTGTTGTTAGTCAGGTAAGATGTGACATTTACTTTTTATTTTTAATGAATATTACTGTAGATATTTTTATAATTCAACTTTAGACCAAATTACTTAAAATTTATTCTGATAATTATGTCATGAAGACTAGTATATTACCACCATCGTTACTGATGTTTAAGAATAATTTTTTTAAAAGTTTTAATGAGCATTAAAAATCTTAAAGGACGTATGACTCTAATCTTTTGAACCTTAAAATAGATGAAAATGGTTCTAAAAGCACATATTAATGTAATATGAATGTATGTAAAGTGATTTATATTCATTTGTAAAGAAAAATATTGTAATTTCTAATCAATTATGTTCGTTGAAATATGCGAACAGTCCAAATTAGACAGCCACCTTTTACGTCTACCAAGTCCATTCTACAGGTTTTTTAATTATTATTTTGTCGTTTGTGAATCAGCCATTAATAATAACTTCCTCATTGACTTGTAGGATATATGTTTGTCTTTGTTCATTACAAATGGCGCTCGAAACCATAGGGTACACGCCATTGTGTCTTATATATTGGATATTAGGATCTCATATTTTTATGGCAAGATAACAGCATCAATATTGATTGAAATGGGCCAATCTTGAATTCCATTTCATGTTTTTAATTTCGAATATTATGAACAATTTTAGTTTCTTTAATTGTGCGATATTTTTAATTCAATATTTATGTTTTTAGTGCTATTCATAATCACTGGAAAAACACAACTAGGATTAGTTCAAAGGTCACTATAAATATATTACCAGTAATTGTATTATTGCTAGTCATTTTTTTTTTAACATTTATTTCAAAGTTTCGTTCAAAAGAAGAAAGTATTTTATAGATATTTTTTTATACCACTGCTCACTTGGTATTCACTTCCATGTACATTATCATTCATCTGAGGAAAAAATTTTATTAACATAATTTCTTTATTCATCATCCATCCTTCCATTTATCAATCCTTTGCATTTACATAGGAGAAAGCCTGCCTGTGATATATTATTGATGAAATCTCAGTGTATTTATGATTTTTAAACTATTGTTATTATTATATATATTTATGATGTTAATGTTTGTTATAAATGTGGTGTGAATGTAGCGTGAATGAGTTTCGGTGAGAATAGTGATCCAGTGTCTTCTGATATAATTGTTTATTTATTTTTTCAGAAATTCAACAGATCCGTTAAAAAAGAAGAATAAATAAAAAAATATATTTTTTTATATTGTTGTTTTGTTTCATTTTTATGAAGATAATTGCAACCAAGCTATATCGGTCATAGTTGTTAATTGAAATTGATGACCAATGATATCAAATTTTATTACTGTTAAAACTCAATAAAGAAGTAAATAAATTTTTTAGAAAAAATATTCTGGAGAATTGATAAAAATAACATATTTCTTTTGTAAGATAATTGAGTGCCTTTTAAAGCAAAGATCCAAATTATCCAGTTGGTTATCGTGGATCACTACCAATCAGAAATTGTGCATGTGTTGCTATATATCCTGATACAAAAAATAAAATTACTGAACTTAACTACAGTTTTGATAGATTTTTAAATTAAGTTACTAAAGCACATTTAATACACATTTCAGGGGTTCCTAAACTAGCTAATGTTTTTGCATAGTTTGGGGTCCCCTTTTAGTCCTGAATTTACATTGTTTTTGATAAATTCTTAAGATTGCCACATAAGCTACATTTAGAAACACCAGGATGTACATGAACTCTAGAAAGCACCATTTACAGACACCACTCACACCCAGTTGGAGAGAACCCTGCCGGACCCCTCACCCCATAGAGTGGGAACCCCTCACGGCCCCTAGTCTGCCCCTTGTATCATTTAGACCGATTGTAACCACAGCTTCATTTAAATATGTCCTACCACCTGTAGCACTTCCCCCTCCCCCCCCCAAACTAAAAATAAATTATTTATTAGAATTTTCGATGTTTGTTCCACATAGGATCTATCTGAGAAGAGAGCTATTCTCTTGTGGCTCGTAGTTGGTACAAATAACTGTATGCCCAGATATGTGGAACCAGATATTTGATGTCAGTGAGCCCATTCCAGGACACCTATTTCACACAAAATCTTATTTTATATCCAGGTGGACCTTCCATATAATAATATATCTGCATAAAAAGTTTATGAAAATACACATTTAAATATTGTCTACCACCTGTCACACATTCCTCTTGAACTAAAAATAGAGAGAGAGAGAAATGGGGTTTAATGTCCACTCAACACAAACTAAGTCATTTCAGGACTAACACATGGTTTAATTTTATTTTAATAATTTGCATGCACATAGTGGTCTTTAGCAGTGGGGGGAAACCGGAGGACCCGGAGAAAACCCATGAGGTTGGACAGGCGACCCTACTCCTTGTCACGTACAACCGGGGAATCGAAACCCCACCAGTTGACTCAATGACAGACCGTATGATACAGCGCACGCGTGCTAACCATTCGGCCATCCACCCCCGAACTAAAAATAAATTGTTTATTGTAATTATCTGTTAGATACTCGACCAATATACAAAGTGTTAATTTATATGATAATTTTCAAAAGAAATTTTGCACTTGTTCGGAGAGAACACAACCGGACAGTAGGACATTAAACCCAATTTCATTTCAATTCTATTTTGACTATCGTTTTAAATTTACCACATCTTGGTTTTTCATGATTAGTTTTTATACGACCACATTGTAATGTGGTCTGTATATTGTCGTCGCCCTGGGGTCCACAATTGCTTGTTAATATCTGATTGACTTTAAATTTATACACAGTTTTTAAGGTCATGAGACGAAGAAGCCCATTGATTTTCAGTGATATCCGATAATTACTATTGATTTTCAGTGATTTCCGATAATTACTGGCAGAGTTATGGCCCTTGATCACTTCAACAAATCTTGTGGACGCCCTGGATGCTCAAGTTAATATCCGATTGACTTTTAATTTATACACAGTGTTTAAGGTCATGGGACGAAGAAGCCTATTGATTTTCAGTGATATCCGATAATTACTGCCAGAGTTATGGCCCATGATCACTTTGAAAAATCTTGTGGACACTGTCAAGACTAAAGTTATGCACAGTGTTTAAGGTCATGAGACAAAGAAGCCTATTGATTTTCAGTGATATCCGATAATTACTATCAGAGTTATGGCCCTTGATCACTTTGAAAAATCTTGTGGACGCTCTAAAGACTACAGTTAATATCCGATTGACTTTAAATTTATGCACAGTGTTTAAGGTCATGAGAAGAAGAGTTCTATTCATTTTCAGCGATTTTCGATAATTACTGTTAGAGTTATGACCCTTGATCACTTCAAAAAATCTTGTAAATGCTCTAGAGGCTAAAGTTAAACATACATTATGCAAGAGCTAAATCTGCCTATTGCAGGTCTTTCTTTAGGCCTGAAATGTTATCTAAATTATTAATTAGACATTAATTAACCTATCCAGACCATAATCAACTCTAGATGGCATCGCAAGCCTGGAATCTTAAGTGGATTGTGAGTCGATTTACTGCATAACTTTCCTTCTCGATTAAACAATTAAATGGATAATCGAGACTATGCTGTTTATAGTAATGATGACCGAGGCTAGGCAGAAATTTCATTCGCTTAGTTCTCGGATAAAAGTTTATCAATTTGAATGAAATTTTCAGCAAATTGCCTTTACGTTATCTAGTTTTTAATTATTATAGTCGGAACTGCCAGCTCGTTATCGAATCTCCCATAAAGTATCCGATTGACTTTAAATTTATACAGTGTTTGAGGTCACGAGACGAAGAATCATATTGATTTTCAACGATTTCCGATAATTACTGCCAAAGTTATGGCCCTTGATCACTTTGATGTTAAAAGTTTCGTATACTAAACGTTAGCATGGTCTTCTGATAATTACTAAATGAGTTGTTACTCTTAATCAGATTTTAATGTATTATAAATGTTTCATTACCGAATAAAGTAAAAATATGCGACAACTCTTGTTGACTGCTCGGACGATCTAGCTGCTGGGGGCGTACGTTTCGTTGCCTGGTAACCTATCTTTTTTCAATGCGGATGTATAAAAATGAGGATTAACTTAAAATCTGCCATTTTGAATCGTTGCTACATTTGATTTTCAAAATTTATTTTTAAATTCAGACATGGAAACCAATTAAAAGACATAGATTTGGCAAATTTGGTAGCCATTTTGAAAGAAATAGTCAACACCATGTGAAAAATACATTTTTTCTAGGTTTTTTTTGGTCAGAGTGTATTTTTCGGCACCTTTCGCCTATATAATCACTTTGTGTTTGAAGACATGAAATTTATTCTCCCACCACTAAAACACACTGGTTACGAGATATCACTCTCTGAAACTTCCTGAAGACTGCCATATTGAATTATGTTAATTACGTCACTTCGCCTTGGCCGAATTTCGGCCAAATTTGAATGTGATGTTGCCAGACATATGTAGGCTATCATTGAACCAAATTGCATGCCATTGGTTTCTTTTGCAATTTGTTTGAGGATAAAATTTATCCCTTCCCACCTATAGGTCTTTTGTTATGAAGACTATATTTGTCAGTCTCCTATAATTAGCTATGTAGATTACGAGACCATGAATCAACCAAATAAGTTTTGATTGGTATAACAATACCAGTTTAGGATTTAATAATGTGGTTTCCACTGCAAACAGGACAAATAACTTGTTTTTGCATTGCTTTTTCCACGCTTCAGTGACAAATGAGTAGTGGTTCCCCTTTAATGTCTGTAAAACATATAATCTCAATAAACAAGGCATCCAATTTACCATTAGTTGCAGCATCCAGAGTAATAGGACAAATGTAAAACATGCAAAAAGCCTGGTTCTAAGCTAGATTTGACCCATCTTCATTTCACACCACATAAAAAAGCTAAACCATCAATTTATTTTAGAAATCTAGCTTGAATCTAAATGTTTTCTCGGAGTAGAAACACCATTGTTATTAGGCCTACTACACTGGTTTAAAAATTAAGTCATACAACCTGCTCATTTAGTTGAATATGGTTTTAAACGTCAACATTCTCGGTAATTCACCAGATCTCGATGGGTGTTTCCTGTTTCACTTTCTATGTTAATAGTTTTAAACAATTTTTTTATATTGTTGTTTTGTTTCATTTTTATGAAGATAATTGCAACCAAGCTATATCGGTCATAGTTGATAATTGAAATTGATGACCAATGATATCAAATTTTAGTACTTTAAAAACTCAATAAAGAAGTAAATAAATTTTTATAGAAAAAATATTCTGGAGAATTGATAAAAATAACATTTTTTTTTGTAAGATAATTGAGTGCCTTTTAAAGCTAAGATCCAAATTATCCAGTTGGTTACTGTGAATCACTGTCAATCAGAAATTGTGCATATGTTGCTAATATATCCTGATACGAAAAATAAAATTACTGAACTTAACTACAGTTTTGGTAGACTTTTAAATTAAGTTACTAAAGCACATTTCAGGGGTTCCTAAACTAGCTAATGTTTTTGCATAGTTTGGGGGCCCCTTTTAGTCCTGAATTTACGTTGTTTTTGATGAATGGTTAAGATTGACACACGTTAAATATGTGCATAAGCTAGAAATACCAGGATATACTCTAGAAAGCACCACTCAAATCCAGTTTGAGAGAACCCTGCCGGACCCCTCCTCCCTTAGAGTGGGAAGCCCTCACGGCCCCTAGTCTGCCCCTTGTATCATTTAGACCGATTGTAACCACAGCTTCATTTAAATATGTCCTACCACCTGTAGCACTTTTGCCTCAAACTAAAAATAAATTGTTTATTGGAATTTTCGATGTTTGTTCCACATAGGATTTATCTGAGAAAAGAGCTATTCTCTTGTGGCTCGTGATCGGTACAAAAACCGTATGCCCAGATATGTGGAACCAGATATTTGATGTCAGTGAGCATATTTGTTTCCAGGACACCTACTTCACACAAAATCTTATTTTATATTCAGGCGGACCTTCCATATAATAATATATCTGCATAAAAAGTTTATGAAAATACACATTTAAAGCGATAATTTCATATTTTTAAGTTATATTTTTAAAATGTATTAAAATAAAGCCTTAAAATAGATGGTATCTATAAACAGTCCTACCTTTTTAAAGAATAATCCTATTAATCCTACAATTCACCATTGCCTGTTGAGAAATTGACAAAAATATCATTTTCAACTTCAAATGTTTGAAG